GACGATGTGAGATAGGGCCTTTCTATATTAAGGCAACGATATGTAGTTCATGAATTTTTAATTTAAAGTAGGAATATTTATAAATTACATCTGCATACATACATATGTTTTATATTTCCTAATCAGTTTTTAATTTGATTTCAATTAAATTTTCCTTTTTTTTTAAATTTCTTTATTGCCTTTCTTTTCATTTCAATCGTGGTTGATTCATTTTGTTACTTTTTCGCGACGCAATGAAAGTGGTAATTTCCAGTTGTCACCAGACTTCCGACAACGCGCCTCTTCGAATGCCAGTTCCTGCGGACGCCTCAGTCCGATTCCAGCGCTAATAGGACTCGAGCCAGATTGGAGCTTTGGTGCTGACTACACAAATACAACCATAACGCCGGCACAGTCAGCGTCAATGGATCAATTAGCCGGTTCGATAGCGGACGTAAAATTGCCAAAGGATATTCTGCAAGGGTCAGTGACCATTTTGATTTTTGTAATTAATTATGGAAAACTGTTTATTTTTAAGTTAAATGTTTTTGTTTTTTTTTTTTTGCTTTTGAAAAGGGGGTTTGAACGCAAATTTTTATTTCCAAAGCATGCCGATTTGCACTATTTTGCAACAGAAAATGTGTTTTTTTTTTTTTTTGTAAAGGCCTTTGTGTATGCATGTTTATGTGTATGAGTTGTGCATGCTGAAGTTCTTTTATATTTCTGCGTGTTAAAAATTAAGCTAAGTATATACATATGTACATGCATATGTATGTATGTTGTTTCCCAACGTCATCGCCAGCAGATAAATAAAGTGAATTTGTTTTGTCTCTTCCTTTTACCACTTAACGGTCATACGGTTGGAGTAGGTTTAGCGCTGCCTCGGGTATACCCACACAGCCGCCACCCCCCTATCAGCCGCCACAGACATACAGCTTGAATGGGCCCGTCGTGTCACAGGGTTATGGCTTACAGGCCCAACAGTGCATGTTGCATCGCTCTCTGACGTGCAGCTGCTTGCATAATTCACGCGACGTACGTAAATATAGACATTTGTTTTAATTTATAGTTCTATAAACTTGCGTTTTTTTTCTTTGCACCTTTTATTTCTTCGCCCGCAGGGTCTGTCACCTAATTCTGTCACAACAACCATGTCTCCCGCGTATCCGAACAGCGAACCATCGTCGGACTCTTTGAACACATACAGTAATGTGGTTTTAGATGCCGGCAGCTCTGCTGGCGTTGCGAATGATAATGGCACCAGTTTATTGGTTCAACAGCAACGACAGCAACAACAGCAGCAGCAGCAACAGCGACAAGTGCAGCAGCAACAACAGCAACAGCAACAACAACAACAACGTCAGCAGCAGCAACAACAGTCACTTAGCACAAATTTGGAAGGTAGGTGGCTAGATGAAAAAATTTGACCGGTAAAAAATATGGCTATCGAAAGAAATTAAAAGTTAGTTGAAATTACTTAGCTACCGTTAAATTCATCGTAGTCCGATTTTCGGGAAATCTGCGAAAATGTGATCAGCGCATTATTTGTTATCGATTTTCATAGCTTAAAGTTTAATGAGCTTAACCATAAAAAATTTAATGGATTTAACGAGCTTTATGTAGTCACAATTTCCAAAAATTTTATATTTATAAGCAGTTAAAGTCTTCTTAATTTTTTATTAATTTTGGTATAAGTTTATACATATAACCGCTTTGGCCATCGAGAGTTCTGTAGTAACTAGCTTTTCTCGCATCATTCGTCGAGATGTCCTTTTGAGCATCTGTTCATTGGAAGACATAAATTAGTCACGTGCCGACTCCTCCAGCTCAGAGAATTCTGTGACCTTTTACAGACATAACTAAACTTACCAGATTATTGTTGAGAATGGAGCACTGCGACCTTGAGATCTAACTATGCCTTTTATAGATTTCTAGTCTGTCTATTAATTTAGTAGCTGGGGGTAATTTTAATATTTACCCTAAATATTTTGATTAAACTGCACTTTCGGTTATGCGAGGATCACCTAAGCGCCGTGTGCATCAGTGCAGGACATCGTTGCAAAATCTTCCGCACAGTTTCGATGCTCACCCTACCAAATATGCTTCACTTCTGCAGTAAGTACCCAGTTTAGCCAGGTAATTGTTCAGCTTACAGTGTCCTGTAAGAATTTCTGTAATAACTCGTAATTTATTCGTGGATAAGCTCAAGCATTCCTCTTTATAGAGTCGGACTTAAAAAATATTTGGCCTAGTTTAACTTTAAAAAAAGAATAGCTGTTATTTTCGGTGCCCGCAATTAACCATATATATCATGACTATCGGTGTAGGCTTCGAAGGTCGTTAGGACTAAGATTACCTCTCCAAGATTTTTGCACTCAAGTGCCAACAACTACCATATGAATTAAATACCCAAATATTGTCATTTTTTGTTTTTTGCATTCGCAGACAACAACTGCGCATCAACACTTATCGGGCAATGCATGGAAGCACTCAATAATGAGCCACAAATTGACGAATTTACACTAGACAGCTTTCAACCTGGCCTAGAGTGCAATCTGGAGGAAGTGAGTATCAAATTATCTTGTAACCGCTTGAAATAATTTGAAACAATGTAAACTCTCTGCCGATTCTCTCGCTACAAATTCACATTGCAGTTAATCCGACAGGAGATGAGCATTGATGGCATGTTGGATATCAACATCCCATTCCCATCTGACCCCACAGCTGTTGGCAATGACAGTACAAATATTGTTAATAGCGCCCTCGGCGGGGCGAATAATGCGCAGCACCAGCAGCAGCAACAACAACAACAACAACAACATCATCAGCAGCAGCAATTGAATCAGCTGCAGGCACAGTTACCCCAGCAACAGCAGCCACAATTGATGCCATCGCTGCTCAATAGTATCGCTAGCAATAACAACAACAGCATTGTAAAGCCACCATCTTGGGTGCACTAGAGGAGTGGGCAGCGCTGGAGTGAGCAGTTAGTTTAATAAATAACAATAACAAAACATTTTTAGCTAAATAAAGTGGTAACCTAAGAAATGGATTTGCATGTAAAAAGAAGAAAAAATAAAAGAAACGCAGGAAAAAAGCGCGGAAAGTAGCATGAGTGAATCGGTTGCGAATGCGAATACCCGGCGATTGGGCAACTGTCTGAAGCTGATGGGACTTAGAGTTGGGTGTGTATGGGTTTCTGCGTGCCACATGCCGGGATACTTTGTAGCGCATTACCAATTTTGCATGCAAATACTTTTATAGTACTACTCAGTACTACAAGTACTACATACCCGTACATGCAACCATAGAAGTTAATAGTTGATGAATTGATTTAATCTATTCTCCCAACCCACATACATACATATGTATACATGTAAGAATAATGCCAACGAATTGCTTCTACCCACAAGTCAAATCAAACCCAAGTTCGAAAAGAAAATGAAGAAATGAAAAAAATCAAAAGAAAACATATGTCATAAGGATTAAGATAGATAATTGGATGGATAAGAAATAAAACTAAGCAAAAAAACAAAATCACAACTTTGTGTCTAATAATCAAGGACAATAGCGACAGGAGTAAAGGATTAGCTAACTAACTGCAACAATATCTGTGAGCAGCAGAGAGCACGAATTGAGTTTAGAAAGTGAGTACAAAAAAAAAAAAAAAAAACTGTTATTAATCATTTTCGGTTATAAAGTAGATAGTATTAGTTTTGCAAAGTTTCCACACTCAGAAACGAGTCAGCTATCTATATATTTTTCTCTCAACACAAGACTTGGTAACTGTAACCCTAATGTGTAACTTTGCCCAAATCACGTGTCGAGAGAAACATAATTAGTTGTTGTAACGAAATTCTTTTCTCGATGCAGTAACCGATTCGGTTCCTGTCGGTAAATATTGGCTTATTCTGGAGACAATTTTGAGCCTTTCAAGTACTCTAGCAACTTATGATTTGCAGATATAACCTTCATTTTCGGGATATAGGTTCTGTAGAGCAATATAAATATTATAGTGTACAAATTGTATATAAATTCAACAAATATTGAGCGTTTTAAGCATTTTAATTGTTGAAAAAATGCGCAATTTTTGTATTACCAAAATGCTCGACAACCGCTCGAATGATTTTATTGTTCTTGTCTTCAGTCAAAAATTCAAGTTTTTTTCGTTTTGTTTGGTATATGGGAAGTAATGGTTGATATCTTCTAAGCTTGTTTATTTTATTCAAATATATGGGCATAAATGATTTTCCGTACAAAAGCACTTCGTCACCATTTTGCAAACACGCGTATGCGCTGGAAGTGAGAGAAGGAGACAAAATGTATGTGTGTAGGTACTTCTGCTTTTGAGGAACAGATGGCGCAATATATTTATAACATAGTCGCAGCGTTTGTATGTAAATAAATACATACGTACATATGTTGATTGCAGCTAATATGGATCTCTTTTTATCTCGCTTTTATTAGCTCGGGATGTAACTATGTAATATTGATGCGCCTAAAAGATGCAGCGATTTCCATTCTCAAGTTACATACCTGATGACAGTACGAATGGGAATTGCATTAAACTTCCATTTTAAAGTTTCCCGATGACAGTACGAATGGAAAATTTTAATAGCAAGGTTTTAGTTTTTTAAACTATAATTTTATTCTTTTAGTAATCTATGTATGTACATATGAATGCATAATACGGGAAAAATTTTCGTCATATCCGATCTTTACCGTTCGTTCTTTACCTCTTTTCAAAGAGCCCATTTTTCTCTATGAGTGTGGGATTGATTTCATATATCTCCATGAACACTTCCAGAGAGATGCAGTATGAAATCTAGCTTGTATGGGAGGTTCCACGCCCCCCTTTCACATAGTCCGAATATTTATTCATGAGTATGCGACTGATTTCATATATCGAGCCCTAACCGCCAAAATAACGTAAGCGAAATTTTTTTCAAAATTTTCTTTTTTATGCAGAAATATTCCTAGAGCATCTACATAGATGCATTTCTGCATCAAAAAGAAAATTTTGAAAAAAATGTCGCTTACGTTATTTTGGCGTTAGGGCTCGATATGTATTTCCATACTCAGCTCCAGTGCTGTACCATGAACACTTCCAGCGATATGCCGTATGAAAAATTCGGTTTGTATGGAAGGTGCCCCGCCCCGTTTTCCAATAGCTCAAATTTTAATGCAAGAGTATGCCATGGATTTCATATATCTCCATAACAAGTTCTAGTACTCTACCATGAACATTTCCCAGTATAAAAATTCGGTTTGTATGGGAGGTTCCCCGCCCCTTTTGTATATCTAGATTTTTGTTAGCCTGTTCGAAAAAACGGTTCACCCGTTCACGAATTTTGCGATATACATAGAATCCACGTCATAGATGGAAAGAGTTGCTGCTTTTAATATTGTGCTCACTTAGTTCGTACAAAAAACATAACAGCACCATACATATGAATGTACAAAAATATTCATATAGTAATGTAAGTGCCAAGGCGAATTCATACCGTCGCTGGAATAAAAAAGATATATATATAAATTAAAGATTTTTCTAATAGATTAAAGGATTGTCTATCAAATGGTACGATTATCGAATAATAGTGTATATGGAATTTGCACTGTTTCTTTATTCCAGCGACGGTATAAAGTGGTGTTGCTAGGATAGCTGCTTTAATTCGCCTCCGTACAAATGAGTGAGTGCGAAAGTAAGAGTGTTGGAGTTTTCTGTCCCTCTTCCTCCTTGAGCGAAGAATAGCTGAAATTTGACATTTGTGTACCGAAAGCGAAAACAAAATACAAATGTAGTTTTTGTTTTCGTACTACCGCTACCACCCTATATGCATTCGCCTTTTGTAAGTGCTAACAGCAATGTTAATTGCTCCTTGTACATACATATGTAATTGCCTACATTAGTTATCCATGAACTGTACTTACGTATTTGTTTTTTTTTTTAACATAAGAATCAACATTAACGTTAATATTAGCACGTATGTACATATGTATATGTATAAATAACCCTTGCTTTGCGCTGTATTCCGTACGAATTAACAGCAGAACAGAAAAAAGGGCAAACAGAAAAAAAACGGCCTGCAAAATATATATTAGTATAGACTAATTACATTTTTGTAACATTTAAGTAATCACTGTCAATTTTATTCAAACATAAAAAGCTAATTCACACGCGTATCCACATTTAAACGGATATTTATAAATTTCCGCAAAATTCCTTCCTTACTTTAAGATTTCACTTAAAAATTTACTTGATTTTGAAATATTTAAAAATTCGTACAAAACAGATACACGCACCACTCCATTCGCATACAAAATATAAACTCATTTCCTTTCATGCTACGAAGCACTTTGACCGCAACTGATCTCATTCAAATTGTCGGCACTCTCAATTGACTTAACCTTAACAATTTTGTGTGTATCGTTGATTTCCGCTTGTGCACGATTGCCCAATTCCTGCATCTTGAATATGAGCATGGCAAACACTTGTGACGGCAATGACATCTGCAACATTTCCAGCAGGCGCCCTGGTTGTCCGCATACGATTATTGCATTGGCCAGATGTCCCACACCATTCTCAAATTCACCTCGCGCAATCAATGTTTCACCCCATTGCATCTCCTGCAGGAAGTAGCGCTCAATTGCTTCGTGATCACTCAAATTTGGTATTCCATTTCGGTCAGCATTTTTTCGATTGCGACGTCGCTGTTCGCGTACTTTTTTCTTGTAATCTGGATCAGCTCGTCGCTTACGGTCGAAATAGACGCAATAGCCGATGAAGAGTGTGCTCGCCAGACCGACAGCTATGCGCATAGTTGTCTTGTTGATTGTATTCATTTCAAATGCTCAAACAATTTATTAAACAATTTTCAAAGATACTTATTTTGTTTGAATAATTAGTACGCAAACAAACAAGAAACAATTTTTGACTTTTTTCAACTGTCTCTGACTGGTAATACGAAAAAGAAATGTTTTATGGAAATGTCTCCACTGTCTGAATAGTGTTGACAGACTGTTTATAAAAATACATCTATGCATATCGATAGTTTTCATGATTCAGTCATGGATAGAGTTATTCTATACCACACAAAATAAAAGAGAATCATACCGACTTTCACACAGATTAATGGCCCTATTCGCATTGCCACGGCAAAACTAATCCAATGACTATGTATTGTTTTAATTACTGCACTTAAAAATAATATTGTCAAAGTTCCAGATTCAGTTGCTGAAACAATAGTCTTGTGTTTAGTTTTGTTATTGACGTGTGAATAGGGCCCTAAGTATACATGTACACAAGGTGAGTTAAATTGACAGCATAAAAGTGTTCTTGCTATTTGTTTTATCTAGATTTGGTGTTCTGAGTCACAGCATCTCATCGCTTACATACATAACATAGTGACTGCATTAACCTACAGCATCAGGTTCTCACTGAACTTTGTTCTGCTGATAAATGTATGACTTGGCCTACTTGTAACAATGAACATTAGGTCAAATGATTACCTTTTATGTGCGAAATTAATAGTAGCTAAAATACTCTGCTTTATTTTAATGCAAAAGGATCGGAAACGTTAAAAAAGTGTAAAGTCAGTTAAGAAAATGTGAAAACATGACTTGACTTTTGTAAAAGAGAGTTTTTATATTCAAATTATGAGTATACGTGTTTAGGTAGTTCTCGTTAACATTGCCCAATTAGCTTGGTTTTGAGATAAGTTATTTTTTTACCATACCCTCCCCCTGAAAATGAGCTAGATAATAAAATAAGTATATTCATTAATTAGAGCATTATCAAAATTCTTAAATAAAAAAAAAAAAATGTTTTTTTATTTATATATCATTTACTATGTACATGCTTCGCAGATATACCTTGAGGAAAGATTCCTGAGACAGTTACGAATATTTTTGAACTTAATTTGTTAAAAGAATGTAGAAAGCTCTATTCACCTTGGGCAAACAATTTTGAAATTGCAATCCGTAGATTCTCTCATGGGTTTGCCTTTTCGCGAAGGCTGTTCATCAATTGTCTTTTCGAATCGGCGCAAGTGACTTTGTAATATAGTCATGATACTTAATGCTACAGGAGATGAAATGTAATCCAAATTGTGGCTGCTATTTTTTTTTTGCTTTGCTATCACATACTTCCATTTTCAATATTTATCAACATTAAAAAGGATTATTGACCACCATTAATATGCAGACAAATTTTGACATCTGCTCTTGTTGCATAGCGCCACTTGCCGCCGGATAAAATAGGCTAAGCAATTTTATGCGAAGGAGAGGACAAAACTGCACATTTTTGGAGAAATTTAGAATACGGCCGACACAGTTGGATTTTTGATTTCGAAAAGAACTTCATCAGCACAAGAAACGCGATGTTTTAGCATCTTTTCCATATTGTTTTCCATAATTTCATGGAACTTTTGCAAATATCATCGACAACCGAAGAAAGCTTTTCTTTTTTCGAACATCCAAGCAGTCAAACTTCAAACAACTCGCCCTTTGTAATAGCATGTTGACCTAGAAAAA